CTGTTTAATAAATGTTGTTGGGAAAAATGGCTAGCCATATGCAGGAAGCTGAAACTGTACCCCTTCCTTACACCTTATACAAAAATTAACTCCAGATGGATTAAAGATTTAAACATAAGAAATAACACCACAAAAACCCTACAAGTAAACCTAGGCCACACCATTTAGGACATAGGCACAGGCAAGGACTTCATGACTAAAACACCAAAAGCAACGGCAACAAAAACCAAAATAGACAAATGTGATCTAATTAAACTTCGGAGCTCTGCACAGCAAAAGAAACAATCATTAGAGTAAACCGACAACCAACAGAATGGGAAAAAAATTTTGCAATCTACCCATCAGACAAAGGGCTAATATCCAGAATCTACAAAGAACTAAAGCAGATTTACAAGAAAACAAACTCATTCAAAAGTGAGCAAAGGATATGAGCAGACATTTTTCAAAAGAAGACATATATGAGGCCAACAAACATATGAAAAAATGCTCATCATCACTGGTCATTAGAGCAATGCAAATCAAAACCACATTGAGATACTATCTCATGCCAGTTAGAATGGCGATCATTAAAAAATCTGGAGACAACAGATTCTGGAGAGGATGTGGTGAAAAAGGAACACTTTTACACTGTTGGTGGGAGTGTAAATTAGTTCAACCACTATGGAAGACTGTGGCAATTCCTCAACGATTTAGAAATAGTAATACCCGCATTGAGAGGTAGGATCTTTAAGAGAAAAAAGAAAAAAAAAAAGAAACAGAAATTCCATTTGATCCAGCTATCTCATTACTGGGTATATACCCAACGGATTATAAATTGTTCTATTATGACGACACACGCACAGGTATGTTCATTGCAGCGCTGTTTATGATAGCAAAGACCACAAAGACCTAGAACCAACTCAAATGGCCATCGATGATAGACTGGACAAAAAAAATGTGGCACATATACACCATGGAATTCCATGCAGCCATAAAAAACAAGTTCATGTCCTTTGTAGAGACATGGATGAATCTGGAAACAATCATTCTCAGCAAACTGACACTAGAGGAGAAAACCAAGCACCACATATTTACACTCATAGGCGGGTGATCAACAATTAGAATACTGGGGCACAGGGAAGGGAACAACACTCACAGGGCTAGGCGGGGGAGTGGAGGGGAGGTGGGGGGGGGACGGCGAGGGAGTACGGGGAGGATGGGGAGCGATGACACTGGGAGAAATGCCTGATGTCGGTGATGGGGTGGGGAGGTGATGGAGACAGCAAACAACCATGGCATGTATGTACCTATGGAGCAATCCTGCAGGATGCAGGATGTGCACGTGTACCCCAGAGCCCAAATACAATTAAAAAAAAAGAAAGAGGCCGGGTGTGGTGGCTCACGCCTGTAATCCAAGTACTTTGGAGGCCAAGGCGGGCGGATCACCTGAGGTTGGGAGTTCAAGACCAGCCTAACCAACATGGTGAAACCCCATCTTTAA